AGGTTAGAATTGGATATCAACATGACAAACACTATCTATCGATCTACATTGGTAGATAGTAATAGAAATACCGCTAATTCATTTCAAAATATATAGTCATGCCTATTTCCAGTTCCAGTTCTAATTCCTTAAAAGATTAGTGTAAGAAAATCGTCAACTCAATAGCCATACCTTTAATATTAATTTGCACACTCCCTCAAATCCAACTTTGAGCCAAAATTAATGATCCGTTTTTGAACTTAAGCCTATATAGGAAAATACTTTTGCGCATCAGAGAATAAATTAGGGGATGGAATTAGAAATAGAAACTGAACAACTTTTTCACAAATCTTTAATTCCCCGTATATGGTGTGAATGTGTTCTCTGAACTCAATTATAAATGCCCTTAATTGAGACATTGTAATGTTCCTCAATAAACAAGTTAAAAAGTCAACTGATTGAATTTGATGAAATTCATTGGTGATCTGGATACCAACCCATTTTTTGTATAAACCCATTTTTTATCAAATTATTAACATCCGCCTAAAACGTCGTGAATGGCTTCATCTTATCATAACCTACAAATTTTTTATCTACGAAAATTCTCAGAAATCTGGCGTTTTCTCATTAAATTAATTAATTTGATGAGGTAGTAATTTCTTTCCACTTGAATCATAAGATAATTTGATTACAAAATCGAAAAAAACAAAACAAAAGAGGCAAAAAATTGGACAGTTTGACATATATAACCTTGTTATTTTGACATGAAAATCTCGCCAAATGGTCAAATATTTTTATATACCTTATTTTCTCTTGTTTTTGTGATCAAATTACCTAACGTGAATCCAAGTGGAAGCAAATGGGTGTTTTTATTACCTAATTAATTCGACAAAGTTTGTCGATTTCCAGGTACAAAACGCCCCAATTCCGAGAATTTTCGTAAATATAAAAGTTGTTGCTCACGATGAAATGAATCGAGATTTTAGACGGATATTAATAATTTGTTAAAATGGGTCTGTACCACGGACTATTGAGCAATGATACTGGTAATATTACTGCCACCTTGATTTATTTAAATATTTCAACCAAGAGAGTCATTTAAATCATAGGCTCTTGTAGTTTACAGTATTTTTTGGTATTTTTTTTAATTTGGCTGCAGACAAACTAATTCGGAACCCACTTTGTTCCTAAAAGACCAAAAGTGAAAACGCGAGTAAACAGTTTTGATTCTGGGCACAATTTTTTTTTTTTAAACTGCATCAAGAATAGAAAGTTTTTTTGCTTTAGTCGTGAAGAACCAAAAATGTTTGTGTAAAGCAGACCTTGGCAAAAAGTATTTTAATTATTATTTTAAGATCAAAGTATTGTGGGTTTATTCTGCTGAGGAAAAGAGTTATAAGATTACTAGACAGAGGAATAAATATATAAAATAATTAATTAATTTATTAAATCGATAATGTTTCTAATCGATTTATAATAAAAGTATAATAATTACATAAGTTGAATTTTATCTTTTTGCTTAGTGAAAAGTACATAAAAATATTATTTTTTTTATTTTTTTTTATTTATTTTTTTTTTTATTGAGTATTATAACAATCTGTCTCTTGGACTTTGGTTATAGTGAGGTAGGATGACATTCACACTATATGTACAAAAAATAAAATAGATAGAACAAAATAATAATCAAAAGTATATACAATAGATAATAAAATAAAATAACCTAAAAAATAAGAAAAACAAAAAAACAGATGCATACCTATATACAATCAGGCGAGGGAACTCCAGGAGAACCCTGCGCTACTCCCAACCGCATCACTGGTACTAAAGCCAGCGGAGATTGGTCGAGAGCACTAAAAATATTATTAAAGGAAAAAATAGGCATGCTTGCCAACTAAACATCTTCCACATTCACTTGTTTATTTCTCAATAAACAATATCTTGTCCTTCACCTATTCTTTATATACTATGCATTTTATTAAGTTAATTAGATACACGCATTATGGGTATGAAACAAGTATTTATAATGGAAACTTAATACACAGGATATTGCAAAGTACTGCTGGTTATTGGTAGGATATCGAATTATTTATATATAAAAAAAGAACTGTTAAAAAAAAAGTAGTTCAAAGAATAACTAGATGCTTTGGTGAAAAATTGGTATTCGTTTTCGGTGCCGTAATTATTCATTCCCAAGTAGATAAAAATAACAGATAACTAGAAAAGAATGAAAGTTATCATTAATGGAGTCGGGCATTATTCGAGATTGAAATGGATAATTTTTAAATTACTTAAATGTTTATTTTAAAATTATTATTAGCACAAATTATACAAAATGATTATTCCCCATGTCAAACGTGTAATATAAAGCAAAAGTTTAGGAACCTGTACAAATATTCAATATTATGGCTGTAATTTTCATAATTGTAAATAGTTACCAAGTGGCATTAAATCATACATTTTTAGAATATTATTTGCGGTCTACAGGACAAAATTATAGACACATTTAAAGCGTAAGTTAATTTTGTTTTTGTAACACCTACAAATAATTTTAACCTAATTTAGTCACGCAGTAATTATGATTTATTTGTTTCTTGATTTGTTTACCTTTATTAATAATAACAGCCAGAAACACCAAATAACAAACTGTTCTTTGTTTGAAAGAACAGTTCAATCGTTTGAATTCAAGAACTGTTGTTTCCAAACGTTTGGAGTTATCTCTCTCCCACCCGTTCTGCGAGTATTAAATATTACAATTACCAATAAAATAAGACAAAATATTAATAATGAAATAAGATTGTAAATTAATTGTATGGTTAAGAGTTGTATAAGATAGCAGTAAATAGCGAGATTGGAAATAAGGGAGCAAAGCAAACAATTACCGAAGGGTTTTGACTTTCTCGTGTAGCTCGTGAGGCGGGAGTGAGTTATGAGATGGCTCGTTAGCGGCTGCAGTTAATGTGCCCAGGCTTCGGTTAAGACGTTACCTTAATCTACACTCCAGTCTTCTTCAATATTGTTTTTTCTTTCCTATTAATGAAAAAAACCTTACAAACATCATTACTGTTGCCAATTTTACAGCTTTCTCTAGTCACTATACTGTTAATAGATTAATATATGAGATGCTAATTGCCGAAGTGAACTATAATACATTTTTATGGAAATTAAGACAAGTTTTCATGTAAAACACTAAAGAAATCCGATCGTAATTTTTTTGGTTTATTATTTTTAATAATGAACCATTGTGATCGTCCAAAAAATTCAAAAACATCCCACTCTCAAAATTTGAGATTTTACGTTTCAGGATACGTAGAATTTGAAAAACGAATAAACATTTGTCTGTCCATCCGCCATCCGCGCAATTTCACAGTAACTACTGGACCGATTTTTTTCAAATTTGGATATAAAATCAGGTCATCCGAGGATGATCCTCCTTCATCGACATTACTATCCTCCTTTTACTTTCAAAATGGCGGCTGAAAAACCTGCTTTGCTATAGACTGTAGCGCCTAAACAAATGTACCGATTTCAATGAAACTTCGATTAAAGTAATTTTCTCGACGCCCTTTAAATTTATCTTTACAATATACTTCAACGAAGAGAAGCTGGGAAAAAAGTTATGAGGGATGGTAAAATTAAATTCCGAATTATCCAAAATGTATACAGTTTTTTGTCATTATTGTGATAAGATGTCTCAAAGGTACTTAAATTTCCTAAAAGATGAAGGAAGTTTCATCGAAATTAAAGCACTGTTAATAGAGATATCGTGATTTTAAAATATTTTTGGTTTATTATTTTCAATAACGAACCATTGTGAACGACTAAATATTTTTTTTCCAATATTTCCAAAAAGTTTTTTATTATTTATGAAATTTACAACTGTTCATTTAAAATTACTTAGCTTTTGCAATCAACAACAAATAACAACTTTGCAAGACCAAAAATGGTAATAAAAAAATCGTTTTGTGAATAAAAATTAAGGCCAAATAGTTACTAATATTTGACAATTTTAGTTACTATAATATAATTTTACTATAGTTTTAGTTATTTTTATTAGTTTTAGTTTATAATTTTATGATAATTTTAGTTAGATTTCCCCAACCTCAAAAATTACAGTAATATCTCTATAGTAATAAGCTAATATATAACTGCAAGACTGATTCGAGACTCTCATAACCAAGACCTGAGTGCGCAAGACCAAGACCAAGACGAGTCTCGCATTTGGACCAAATTTTATAATTACTCAACAATGTCAGAAAATAATTTCTATTCAAAGTAGAGAGGTAAGTGAAAGTAGTGTGTTGTGCGCATCAGATTTTTTAATATTGGCTTTGGTAATCGAATTAGAAAATATAGTATTTCACGTTTTCTGAGAAATATTGATAATTATCAGGATTCACTTTGGAAATAAACAATTCAGATGGCATTGGTTTTTATTTATAGACAGTGGTAAAGAACTTGTCCTTCATAACTGGGTAAGATATTATTCTTTGCTAAGTTATTTAATAATAAGATGAATCATTAATCAGATACTACTAGATGAACTTCATATAATTTTCAGATTTGAAAATGGCAAATAATGAGGATATGCGGTCTTTATTTGGTTTATTAGATTTTTAAAAATATTGAACCAAGCATCAGAGCTAAAAATTAAAATAATACATCAGAAAAATTACATATAAATAGAAGTATGTAACTAAGCGAAAACAAGATGGAAATCACACAAGAGATAATGATAATATAAACATATCAGTTTTATCAATTTTAGCCCTGATGCTTGAGTTGAAACGTCGTTATATCCATATAAACCATTTAAAGACTGATTACTTGTCACCTTCATAATTTTAACCGCCTTCTCTTTATTCATTTTTAAATTTTCAGATTTTGTAATAAAAAAAATGTACATAAGTATGACTGCCTATATTTGATTTCATTTTAGTTTTATATTGAATTTGTTTTGTTTTTTTAATCATTTACTCATTTTGCTATTTTTATTTTTCTAGGTACTAGGTAGTTCGGGTACATTATTTCAAGATGGCGGCAGGTTTGAAGACCAACCATAGCAATTCCTCTATTCTTGAAAAATACCCAAATGTATCCGAAAGTAGGCGAAGCCGGACCGATCCCCAATCCTTGGAAGTTGGTAAATTATTCACATTGTTCAGAAGTTAGTTTTAATTGAATAATGCACGATGCATAGGTAAGATTTAGTTAGCAACATAGAAAACTATGTTGATTTCTTTTCATATATAAATGACAAAGTGAACCGAATCATTGAAATTTTCTTGGCTTCTCTGGAAATAAAACAATCATGTTAAGAGTGTAATTCCAAAACAATTTAACTTTCAAAATATCCGTCTCAATGATTTATCCAGATAGCCCACACTTTTGCATTGAGGTAATTCAGGACGACGTCGAACATCGATCTTTTTCTGATACGTCAAACAAACAAGGTTACAGGGTACACAACTCTGGATTTCATTATGTCTGACCACATACAAATTCTATATGACATTCTAGGAAAAATTTGTAAACGAAATCCATGAAAAATACGATTTAAAAAATGCGGACTTATACCATATGTGAAATAATGCTTCAATCCGCAGATATTGTCTTTCTAAGGTTTTATCTACTATCTTCTTCAGTCCGTGTACCACCAGAACATATTCTTATGTTGATTTCACTCCTAAGCACTAGAAAGAAGAGCACTGAACTAGGCTCCGAAGAGGTAAGAAAGTTTTAAACTTACTGTGCACATTCGAGATCTCATTTATTATTATTAGCTTATGAAAGAGGTATATTTGGTAGGAAAATCAAAGAACTTTGTATGGAAATCATCGCAAATCTTGGAAAGTTATACATTTCTCTACAAGAACATCAAATTCAATCAGGTCTCACTAGGAAAATAAAATAATAACTAATACGGTATTTATCAAGATTTATCAATAGTTAACGAATCGGAGGCAGTGGAGACTTTATAAGTAATGGTTTTATTCATAATGTTACAAATGGCATCTAAAATACAGAGTAATATAATTTGGATATATAAGTTGACTACATGTGTTCACTCCAGGTCTCCTTCAGTTATGTATGACATCAACAGTTACAACTACATGAGTGGTTTGGTCTGAGGATCATGGGGGTTATATGCTCGGGAATAGTAGAGGGGATGAATCAATTCTGGACGGTCTAGGAAGCGTGTCAATGAAGTTAAGATTTGATATCCTTATCTTTTAGAATTGATATGAAGTCTTTGAGAAAGTGCTCGTTTGTTGAAAACGGTTATTGTTCCCTAAGTCTTGATAAGTGTCTTCTGTCCAGTCAGTACATTCTAGATAAATATTTCTAAGCTATCAGAGATATCTTGACCTGGCTATCTATGGGCTTTGTGCCTTTATGCTTTGATAAAGGTCGTGAGAAAGGTCAATGCATGATTAAATGATTAAATAAAATAAAAGTTAATATTAATAGTTGTTACGGATCAAGTCCATTCCGTAACTAATGAAACAGTTACTGAGAAAAGGTATAAACGAAAAATAGAAACGATCCGTCTCACTACCGTTCCATGAGAACTTTACCTCACATGGGAAAATGTTTTCATAAGATAATTCTGTTCCATTTTAGTTTTTTTTTTTCCTAAAAAGTATATTCTTAAGTGTAAATTTCAATGAACACCCTTTTCATTATACTGGGATTGACTCTATAAACAAGCCGTACCACGTTCCCTCGAGTAGAAGATATTTCTGCGAAGTTCCCTTTCTTAGTAGAGACCGCCCCGATGAGGAGGGTGTGTAGAACAGAGAGCTATCAAAACAGCTTTAGTGACAGGAGATGGGGCGAGCTGAGCCCAAAGCCCCTTCGAAGTCCAGGCCAATGCAAGAGGTTGGCTTTGCAAGCCTGTTAGTCGGCCCGCTTGGTACCATTGTGGCAAGACTACCTGCCTTTGTCAGGATTGTTCTCATACGTGAGGCAGGACCCTCTTAAGAGGACAGTGATATGTTTTGAGAGGTTTCCTTTTATGTTTCGGCAAGGATATTAATACAATTTTTGAACCATTTGTTTGAATTATAAGTATATTTTTTATTTTTAATAAATGTAACTCAAATGATGTTAATATAACAATAAATGTATTGGCTTATGCGTACAAAAAAAAAAAAAAAATCTGATGGCTACATCGCATACCTTTCACTTACCGCTCTACTTCGAAAAGAAATTATAAATTCTAGTAAATTTCAATCGGATCTCGAAATATTTAATGAAGTTGCGTTGAGCTCGAATTGGGAGTGGTCTGTTCCATCCAGCAACCCAGCAATAAAAATAAAAAAGCTGTTTACCTTTGTCTGCCTTTTGAGAGATTATTTTTAAAAATATTCTATTTAAATAAGAGAGTTATTCAGCATTTGGAAAAATCCTACTAATATATTGTCTATAAATGTTATTTAGCAACGATTTGAGTCGGAAAACATTTCTCTTTTGCTGGGTTAAGAAATTATCACAAATTGGCACTGGCAAAAATTAAAACGAAATGGCAAAAGTGTGTTAAGTTAGCCTTTTGACATAGTTTTTGGATGTAAAATATAGTAAAACTTTAGTGCTAGTGGAGAAGAAACTTCATTAAATACTTATTCTTTGAATATTGGTCACCCTTTTATAAACGATTCGACGACTGTTATACCCGAGGTAAAATCAATAAAAACAATGCGTTATCCACAGAATGTTAAATCACCACGCTAACTGCAACAGAAGCTCTTTTATTTTTATCAGCATAAGGGTCCCCCCACCCAATAGGAAATAACGCTAAAATACGTTTGGTAGTGGGAATAGCGTAAAAGATTTTTTTTTTAAAACATAATTTTAATCTTAAACAAACTATACATCTCATGCCGGGCGTGATTGAATGAAATGTTGAAGGATTTCTTCTATAAAAAATATTACAGTAAAAATTATTTATGTAATACAAAAGTATTACATAAATACATCAAGTAAATTTGGACATAATAGATATAATGACATGAATACACTTGCTGAGTAACTACCCAATGGTAGCACTCTAATGATATGACTACTTTAGAAGATCACGGGGCCATCTTCTTTTCAGACGCCTTGGAGGGTTATCAGGAATTGAAGAGGAAGCAAGGTTAGAAACGAGAGGGTTGGGATGATTCTGAAGTATATTATGGAAGGATAGGTATCTGGATTGGGCCAGATCTGAAACATAAGGAACATTAAGATCTTTATGGATAATTTTATTAGTGACAAAGTAAGGAGCATTGAGGATTTTACGAAGGATTTTGGATTGCAGGGATTGCATGCGAGAGGAATTCGATGGTTTGGAGCCCCATAGCTCAAGTCCGTATGTCCAAATAGGTCGTATTATAGTCAAGTATATGAGTCTTTTGTAATTAATGAGAAGTTTAGAGCGTTTGTCTAGTAAGTGGTGAAGTAATCGGAAACGTCGAGCGATTTCTTGTCGTTTCAGTCTAGTATGAGGATTCCAAGTTAGTCGTTTGTCCAGGTGGAGTCCTAGGTATCGGATTTATACTCAACAGGGATAAGCGGAGTATTGTTAAAGGAAACTGTAGGACAAGAAGTCGTTGGTTTACGACGAAGGGTAAAGGTAATTTGGTGGGATTTATTGGAGTTTATTTTAATTCTCCAGTTTTGACACCATTCTTCTAGATTTATGATGTGTGATTGAAGTATTTGGGATGCAATTGCTGGGTCATTGTTTACTGATAGGATACATGTGTTATCGGCATATGACACAGTGATATCATGTATGATATCCCATCCCATGATATCCCTTACCCATACTGATGACAGTGTTGGGACAGGTAGGGATGTCAGCTGTATAAACTGTATAGAGGATAGGACCTAGGATACTACCTTGAGGAACACCAGCGGACTGCGAAAGAAAATTTATTTAAATCCAAATAATAAACATTTGATGTGATATATATAAAGATTTTTAATTTGAAAACATTTAGTATTTTTATTTGTATAAATGGTCCATTAGAATAGAATAGAAAGGGTCCTATTTACTGATAATTATTCAATTAATTGTTTCAGAAAGGTTTATTATAATTATTGTTATTATTATCGCTTACCTGGAAGCAGTGCTAACCTCTCCACCTCCCTATGACTGACAAAGGACCGTAAATATAGATATATAAATATATAGAGGCGTGGGCGCTGGCCGATGAAGGTGTCTATTGTGGCAATTGGGTTTTATCGCCGGGAGTGAGGGCAGGCCTCGAAAATAAAATGATTTGGGGTCGTAAAGGTGCGCGAGGCTAATGCTGTTGTTAGTTGTTCCTATCTCGTCGTCACCTTTATGCCTCCTCTCTCCCTCGCCTTTAGTGTCTTATGAATATTTTAATATCTTCACTGTTTACTATTAACGAGGGGGGTACAGACTTTATATGGCATGTCTCTTTTGCTACCTCACAAACGTTTATTTCTCAAATAACCGTACGTTGAGAGTAAACTCTAGTTAAGGACATAAAGAACCGCGCTTAGCCCAGCCCTATGAAAGCTTTTTTTTTGACGAATTGGTGGGATTGCTTGAGAAAGAGCCGTACTAAAGAAATAGAAAATAAACTTTATATTGGGACGATGTCCCCTTAGAATAACAATAATGTACAGTTACAAAAGAAAAAATACACATCTGGCCAAAAACTAACTTAATAAAGATTAAAACAATATAAACAACAACTTAAATAATTACTAAAAAATAAAATAAAGTCTTCTCAACTATATTTATAATTTTACTGCAAAAAATAACAAAAAGAAACGGAAAAAAAGAAAAGAGAATTACATGCATAGAAAAAAGAATCAATAGAAAGATATATATGAATATAAATTGAGGAATGTAATAAATTAAATACGTCTAAAATATACACAATCTTGTAGATGGAAAAAAGAAAAATGGATAAAAACAACAATCTCCTACTTTTTATGCATCACCTCACAGTGCTATGCTAAAGATACTGAATCTTTCCAGTTCACAGATAATACACAAAGAATTAAATTAAATAGTGGTTTATGAAAAAAAAAAAAATGTTCCCTTTTTTTACATGATACATAATTAACCAGCATCTTTTGGTTGTGAAGAGGAATTGGAATAAGAGGGTTTTGAATGTGGATAAGGATGGTGCATAGCGGATTTTAAGTGGGATGGAATTCCAAAAGGTGGAGGAGCGGACAGTAAAGGAATGTTGAAATGAAGCAGATCTATGGAAAGGAGTGTAAAGGGCAGAAGGCCGAGATCTTGTGGAGAGGGAGTGGACACATGATTTAAATTGGAGGAGATTGTATACGTAGGATAGGCAATGGTTGATGATTATTTGATAAAGGAATGTGCCAAGGAAATATTGTCTTCTGAAGGAGGGGAAGAGCCACCCTAACTGGGCATAGTAGTGAGAAACAGAGGAACGTCTCGTTTTTCCTATACTATAAGGGAACTATACTATTGGCTACGTGGATGATGTGGTTGCAACGTGGTAGGAGTTTGATGGTATCATTGCAAAAAAGACGTTAAATAATAACGCTTCGAAGATACGCACTATACTCTTTAGAGGAAAAACTGCTATCGCCCAACATATATGTACATAATAGTTCAAGGAACAAGAATACGTCCAAGTTGTCACATAGCTTTGAATGGCCTCAGACGCTTCGGGAAGAAGTGGATCATTCTATAGTCAAATATACTCAATAGCATTGACTATATATTAAGGAATAATGATAGTTATTCTGAGACCTGCGTCCCGTGAAAGGAGCTAAAACCTCTCACACCAACAGAAAATTTGAAACATATATCACGTGAGATGTCTTTTCAGGGCTACAGGGAAATCACAAGGAATGACGAGACTCTTAGCAAGTGGAAAAACATTATTCGGGAGGATGCATCAGAAGTGTGGTGAGTGACAAGTCAGTCTACTTTGAGGAAGTAATTCCTCACCGTCCCACAGTGGGACGAATGACCAATCTAGATGGAAAAAAAGTCTAACACCTGATATTTTATTTGTATTCTAGCTGTGGTTTTAATTGCCGTACAGGCACAAGTCATTCTACTAATTTGTGTACCAATATAAGGGAAAAAAGTAAGGAAACAGGTAGGAACAATAAATGAACGAACATATCCCCACCCCCATCCTCATCCCCATATATCCCCACATATATTATTACAATAAGGCTCGAAATCGGTATTGTACCAAATAGCTCCTGTCATGCTCAAATACCATGAATGGGGTACCGTTGGATTCAGAATTTCACGGGGGGTTAGCGAATCGTATTCTCAACTTTTGTTTTTCTTTCTAAAATAAATAAAGTCGATACAAACATTTTGCTAGGCTTCAATACTGGAACGGTGGTAGGTCTGCAGATCGATATGGAATAAATTGGATCTTGAAGATTTTGATGCGTACAGCAAGACCCGGATTGTTCCTCCGGAACTATCGGATCCTGCGGTTTTAAGCCCAAAAACCTGCTATTTTCGAGATATTGCACAGCACATCCACACAACCTTACATTAATTGTAGTACTGTTATTGAATAAATGTCTCATTTCGTCGACTTGAGGTCTCCATGATCGAGAAAGGAGGAGTTTATATTATTTATCAATGGTGTTTTTGATCGGCAAGCCATATCATCGTTAATTATTCACCAAATCTCAAGATTGAGCCACCAATTTCGAAGGCTTCCTTCTCCTTCAGGCGGGCAAAATAGTCCAATGACCCAAAATTCAGGCAAACAAGTTATGAAAGAAAACAAACTTTATTAGCATAAAACTGAAAAATTACACACTTTTCCCTTGGTTATGCCTATGATTATATAAAAGATTACTAAATTCCCTACAAAAAGAAAAAAGAAATCATCGAAATCGGACAATTTTTAGCAAAGATACAGAATACTGAAATTTGTTAACATGTTGGTTCCAAATAAAAATGAAGATTTAAATTTTTTTTTTTTCTTTGTCGATTATATTTATCGATAAAATAACATTTGATTTCTTAATCTTTTGATACGTTGTATTATTTTATTTTCTTATTAAGTTGGCATTTGATAACTATATACTGTGCGAATTTTTCGCACGGGTCTACTACTGTATATATATTACATGTGCTTATATTATAATAGATGAAAAATAAAATGGAGGATAAGAAAATAAAAAAAATAAGTAGGATCTTCTCAATTCGGTAATTTATTTTGTGCATTTAAAATTTCGTAATTTTAAAAAATACAAGATCATAAAATGTACTAATATTAAATAATAATATTATTTTATTTATGTATTTAACATTTTATGCTATTTGCACCATTTTGATGTATTACGGATTAGCTGGGAGTTCGATTCTGAAAGTCGATCAGGTAACATGGAGCAGGAAATAGAAAGGACTAATGGATTGGGGTGATTTAGAGTTGAAAAATGATATTAAGTGTATTTGTCGTGGATGTAGGATTTTACTGTTGGTATGTTTAAGTCGTTATGTATAGTGTTATTTGAAATGATGCAGGATACGTTGACAATTTTTCGTAGAATTTTTTATTGTGTTGTTTTTATTTTATTTATGTGTGTTTGTTTTGCCGAATTTCAAAGTTCTACTATATATGTCCAAATTGGTCTCCGTATGGTGTTGTAGATCAGTCGCTTGTTTCGTTAGTTAAATAATAATATTAATGTATTAATTAATTTAAAATGCTAAATTCTAAAAATGTATTTTAAAATATTTTATTTGAAATACTACTCATATTTGATCTAATATAACTTCGATTGCAGTTGTAGTGATGATTTAACTGAGACTTATGCGGTGAACGCATTTTTTTTTCTGTTCCTCACGTAGTCGTAAAATCGTTTAACAGGGCGATCAATATTCAAAGAATAAGTATTTAATGAAGTTTCTTCACCACAACCACTAAAATTTTATTGTAATTTACAATTAAAAACTATGATTAAAGTCTAATTTAAGACATTCTTGCCATTTCGTTTTAATTTTTGTCACTGCCAATTTGAGATAATTTCTTGACCCAACAAAAGAAAGATGTTTTCAGACTCGAATCGTTGCTAAAAAACATTATTCATTCGCTATACATCAGTAGGATTTTTCCAAATGCCGAATAATTCCTTTATTTAAATAGAATATTTTTAAAAATAAAATAAAATGTCTCAAAAGGCAGACAAAGGCAATCAACTCTTTTATTTTCTTTAATATACCTACTAAGCAACATCTGAGAAAAATTTCACAGCAGTATTTTTGGGTTTATTTTAGTAAAATACTTTTGAAGATATAAAATTACTTTAATTTTAGAGCATATAGAAATAAACAAGTTAATTTATCAAATTATGAATTGATAATTTGACGAATGACATACTTAAATACAAGGTATCTATGGTTTTCAAATAAAAATTATTATTGTAAATAAACAATTAAGTGGTACTAAGCTCAAATGAAAGATAAGACAATAATTGAACAATACATGAGCCATCAAATCAGTAGTTCTTTAGAGCATTGTATTTATCGCATGGAACCGCTAAAATTATGACAACTGATGATCATCTTTTAATTAAAAATCCATCTTTTATCTCATTACGTCAGATTTTAAAAAAATCATCATTAAATTTTCTCCATTGAATGTCGATATTACCGAAATATCGATATTTTACCATCGATATAAATATTCCTCTTTTTTCCCCTACAGTTAATCAGAAAATTCTATATTTATCCATATTTTATTAGTCAGACAATCAGAGAGATTAGTTATTTCTAAAAAAAATAGTTTTTTTGCATTTTTTGTTGTACTGAATGTACACTTCATGACACAGGGACACATCGTACCGCCTAAAATATAACCAAATAAATAAATAAAAAAATAAGATTGATCATAAAACATATAGAAAAAAAAAAGTCTAAATCCCACTTGAAGTCAATTCTTGCATAGAAAATATAGATGAAATTCGTAAAATACCAGCATGAACTGGAATTGCTTTTTAATAGTTTGTGTATCATGTTATTGGTCTTGTTCTACTGTCACTGACAAATTAGGCAATAAGCAATCGTCTAATTAATTATATTCAGGTTGGACAATCAGGCTACCTTGGACAGAGCCAGAGAATTGAGCCAAATTGAGCAAGAAGACATTGGGAGCATAACAAATGAGGTGAGGTAAGGTAAGTGAGCAGTCCAGTATATAAGACGCCCGGGCCCGGCTCAAAGCATCGTTGTTCGCTCTCAGTACAACTGTCATCATCATCAACATGAACTCTCTTACTGTTGTGAGTAACATATAGTATATTCTATTCTATTCTATTCTATATATATATATATATATATATATATATATATATATATATATATATATATATATATATATATATATATATATATGTATATATATATATATATATATATAATCAATTAACAAATTACCTTTGAAGATATTTTAACTCAGTTTCTTGGCAATTTTAATACGTGTAATGCATTGGTAGTTCTCTATTTTGAGATTAAGATTAAAAACCTTTTAGTTTTTTTTTTAATTTGCAATATATTAAATAAAGTTAAAAAATAATAATTAAGACAAATCAAATGATATGGATAAATAAAAGTAATTGATAAATACTGACATTTAAAACACATTATTTTTCATGTTATCATAGATTACATTTTTTTTACTAGATTATATTTTTATAAAGTTATCTTATGATTAAGAAATTAAAATAATAATTATCTATTTATGTATAAATAATAAACTTGTACGTATCAGATGAGTCTTAGAAAAATTCAATAATTAATTGAACCTATTAATAAATCTATTAAATAAACAGTTGTGTTTTTTATTTCTGAATTTAATAATACAATTTTAACTTTAGTAAAATAATTTTGGTTTCTTAAAAATAATTGTATGAGATGTAAAAACCAATACAATTGAAGTAAAAATAGTCAATTTAAGTCAATTAACATGATACCTTTTTTAAAATATATTTTTTATTAAAATATATAAATACGTTTGTTTGCATTGCACAGAAAGACGAAAATATCTTTTTGGGAACAGAATTCTGTAAAAAACAAAAAATATAAGATGTAGATGATTGATTTTTACAACTCTGTTTGTGCTGAATCAGTTTGAAACGTGTTCGATCGATCATTACTTAATGATAATTGGCTTAGCTTAATTTTTTAGAAAATCATATTTTTTATTTTAATCAAAATGCTTATTGCTAAATATTTTTTCAGTTTTCGTATTGAAGTTCTAAACGTGTTCTACGAAACTATTCATAATATTCTATAAAAAAAAAAAAAAGTCATTAAAATATGAATAATATCGTTTTTAAATAGCTGTAAAACTCGGCATCTTTCTTGGTTGTAGTATATGTAAATATATTTTCTTTGGAGATATAAATAAAAATTAAAAAATATTATATGTGTATATATATATTTAGAATGCATTGAAATTTCACTTATATATATGGATTCGATTTTCTCTTTACTCATTGTTTTGAGGCAACATTTCATCAAATTGTTTTGCGGTTCTTCTACTGCTAAATTCGATTAATTTTTCGTTTCCTCAATACACTATAATTAAAGTTAGCTTAAACAGTACTTAATTAATCAACACTAAACATGTCTGCTGTCAATCTCACTACACTGTCAAAATTTAGTTTCCATTAAATAACTGTACTGTATTTTGATAAGCATCCTATCACAATTTAGTTATTAAAACCTATGTTTAAATACTGGTTCAATTCAAGTTCCATTTCTTATACAAATACTCATGACTGAATAGACACTAAAAACTTTTAGAAAGAAAAATCCCTAACGACTGAATGATACTCAATTTCCACACGGATAAAATAAAAATAGATTTCCAATACGTTTAAGTAAAGTAAGTAATTCAGTGAGGAAAAAAACAAACAAAAATTGAGATTTAGGAACCAAAATTAGATATACATTAATTAAGTAAAAAAAAAAGTTAAAAATAACTCTTTAAGGAATAATTTTTTAAACCATTTTAGAAGAGGTGAAAACTAAAATACTGTGGTGATTTATAAAATTTATAATAAAAAAAATGTCAGATCACACTATTTGTATTATGAGCATTTAAATATTATTAAAAATCAATGAAGTTTATTTTATTCCAATTCGATAAAATATGTGCGTTTTTTATAAAAAATAAACTTAACAATCTTATTAACAGGATCTGACAATTCATCTCCATAACAAAGGTAAAAGAATTCGGGACGAAATCAAGAAACACTTTTCTAGTTTCGCAACTCAGCAGTAGCATCCTTCGCGAATTAACCTTGTACTAGTTAAATAGGACCGTTTCACACTTGCTTCAATATTCATGCTAATTGTTGAGCACTTCTAGGTTAAGTTCTATTTCGTAACAAATATATGCAAAATGAAAATTATAAACTGTTATTTAAGTGTTAATATTTTCATGATTAATAGTAAGTATGAAATGTACCATAACATACTTGCAAAAAATGGATATTTTAATAAATTTGCTAATTAATACGCATACGTAAAGAAGAACGAATACGCAAGTTTATACTTAACCAAAATACACAACCATATTACAATGCGACAGTCAAACATATAAATAAAAAAAAGTTCTTAAATCTCTTTGAGGAATACCTGAAATTGTTTTTTTTTTTTTTTAAACCAAAATGGAGGAGAATAATCGTTTAAAATCTCAATATTTTCACACTAAGTAAATAAATTCCTAGATATCAACATTACAGAGTATGTGCATTTAAACATCCTGTTTTTATAATTTATTGTTTGATGAACTCGTAATAATTTTTTTTTTTTTAAAGATAAATATTATATGCAGTGAGAGGATTAACAACGAATGCAAAGTGAAAAAACAGAGAATAGTGATTTATAAGCAATACTTATGAGCTATCAATATCTTTCACAATTTCTAATAATTATACATACAACAAAATTTCTATTGTATTTTTATAAGCATTTTTATTTAGGATGTGTTAATAAATAAAGTTTTCATCTTTTTGGCTAAAAATGTCTTAATGATGTTAATATTATTATTTTTAAACAATATCTTATTCTTTCACTTAAGGTTTTATTTTTATATTTTAATTCAATAAAAATTCAGTAATTTTTGTTTGTCTGTAAAATAATAAACTTCAGAATACTTGTTAAATTGATTCAAATGATTTATAATTAGTTCAATTCGTCTTACTAAAAAAAAAAAAAAATAAATCAATAATTCGACCAGAGTTAAACTAAATCTAGGTTTTTCTCCTGATTAAGTGTCCCAAGTGATAACGAATGAGTGAAACCTAGAAGTGTCTCCTAGCCTCAGGGTTTATAAACGGATGATGTAATACAGTTACATTTAACACAGATTCGGAAAACTTGAGAGCAAAACCCACTCAGATCTTTTGCACACCTTAACCAGCCTTCTCGATCTCTACTTATTTGGGGCTATTTCTACTTATCATACGCAGCTTTATTGCATCTGGTGATTCGATTTATCCATCTGGTTTTTGGCCTTTGGTATTGTCGTTTGTCTACTATTGAGGCATTCATTGGTGTGTAGAGACCAGATGGATTACTCCGAACTACATATCCTACATACATCTTAACTTCCTTGCCTTACAATCTTCTTTACAGGTCTTTCTCTTCCAACGTTAGTACTATGATTCCAGATCACCCCGGTTATAGTATGAAGAATCTCAAATGTTTTAATTCTTTGTTAGATGGAGCTTAGTGTTCAGGTTTTACAGCCGTATATCAAAACTGCTTTAATCGTAGCGTTAGCGCCAATGACCCTCTAGGATAGAGGTGATTACAAATAAAAAGAAAAAACAGATTAATATAATACAAAAAGCATCCTTTGACCAAAACACTATCGTTATGATAATATTCTTCTCGTTGCAGGTAACCCTCCTCGCCTTGGTGAGCTGCGCCTTCGCCAGTGTCCTTCCGATCGCTACCATCGGCTCTTCGTACGCGGCACACCAGATCGAGCACAGCGTATCTCTTCCAGCGGCTCCAGTCGTCGCTGCGGCTCCAGCCAAGATCGCAGCTCCCGCTGCAGCAGCTTATGTCGCTCCAGCTCCTGCTGCTTATGTCGCTCCAGCTCCAGCAGCTTATGTCGCTCCAGCTCCAGCAGCTTATGTCGCTCCAGCCCGTGCCGCTTATGTCGCTCCTGCTGCAGCTCCAGCGGCTTACGTAGCTCCTGCCCGCGCAGCCTACGTAGCCCAAGCTCCATTCCTGTTCTGAGCTGCTCCTGTGATTCAATAAAAACGTTTCCTCTCTAAAATCTGATGTTTTAATTTACTTTCCCTTTTATAAAGTTATTTTTTACTTATAGTAGTAATTTTGAAAGAATAGTTCAACTTTTTAGTACAAGGCTTGATGTGTAAGAACAGAAACAAATCAGTTGCTTTTGGTGTCAATTTCAAAAGCATATAGCTCCACTTCTATTGCATAAATAAAAGAAAGGATTGTTATTTGGACTTAAACCATTAAATGCCCTATTAATTTAAACTAATCACACAAACATAGATCATAAGACTCAAGCATTTAATACATTAGACATACCTAGTGTTGCCCAAATGCGAGATCGAGACGATTCTTGGTCTTGCAAGCTCAGTTTTGGTCATGGTCTTGGTCTTGCGCAAGAGTCTCGCAATGGTTTTGCAGTTACTTATTAGCTTATTACTATAGAGATATTACTGTATTTTTTTAGATAGGAGAAACCTTACTAAGCCCGAATGAAAAATTGGAGCAGTTAAATGCAAAATTATATTAGTTATACCAATTATTTACATATATGGTAACTAAGATTGTCTTTAGTGGGCGGGGTGGCCGAATGGGTTAGAGCGTGTGCACTGCACTGCCGTTGCCCGGCAACCTGATATATGAATCAAAGATATAAAAATAGTCACGAGTTCGCCTCCCGGTGCCGGAGGAGTCTTTTAAATCCCCGCTCACACTCCCTGGTCCGGAAAAATCCCGTATAGCTTTAACGGCGAGGAAGGGAAGGACACCAAAAACCACTAAGATTGTCTAGTATTAGCAACTATTTTTCCTTAATGTTTATTCAAAAAATTGATTTTTTTTACCAGTCCTGGTCTTGGTTTTGCAAAGTGCAAGATCAAGACCAATTTTGGGCAACGCTAGACATCCCACTTCAGTTGACATTATTACCTCCTCAAGTTGCACTACAATTCAAACATGTGCCGAAAAGAAAAGCTCCTATCATATGACTTAATACTGCAATCCAAAAAATTCCAAGAAAGCTCATGTATATCTGAAAATAATTTACAACTGTATACTTAGGACCTCAAAATCCTCATTAATAAGGAAATACTCATTCATTAAAATGATTCGCAAACAATGTAAATACATATAAAGCCTTCACCTTACAGACCCATTAGCCCCTCTCTGTATACTTATAGTATTTGAAAAAATAATATGCCAAAGACTCACCAATTACAAAATGTAATTCATTGTATGAGCACTAGAACAAAAGCAATATGTAATGGATGTAACTAACATCTTCTCCTTAAACTTAAGATTACACTATCATATCGTACTATATTATCCTTCCCATGTTTCCTGTTCAATATATTTTCGGTTCGATAATTTTCTCGATTTGTCCAATCTTGGTAGAAATTTCGCAATTTATATTGAATATAGTTACTTATGATGACGATACAACAATTCTCACCAAACGTTAACATCCTACACGGGCCACACTGCGTTCACAACATCACTCGATTGACTAATTCATGATAAATCCAAACATCCAACACTTGTTATTAAAAAAAAAATAAAAAATCCTGCCTTTAATTTTATATCATCACATGCACCTTGTACATGTGATGAGGAAATAAAAAGAAAAAATTCAGATGGCAAAAAGACCATATCAATGCTCAACTCGGTATTATGAAACCGGAACATTATCCCCAAAACAAAAAACAAAAAATGTCTACAATAGTATTGTACTACATATAGGTCAGAAAATTGGCCTTAAAAAGCAGCCTCTGGATAAAACTTCTAGCCACAGAAATGGACTACTGGAGACAGAAATACGACCATCAGAGAAAAGATGGAGGCTAAAACAACCATTCTGGAAGAGATTGAGAAAAAACGCCTGAAGTGGTATGGACATTTAAAAAAATGCCTGAAGGAAGACTACCCAAATATGTCCACTTATGGAAAACTAGGGGAAGAAGAAGAAGAGGTCATGGTTTACGGAAAGAATGGACCTTAGATAGGACATTATGGGAAGAAGACTTTGGTTAAGGGAACTCACTATTAGTGGAAACTCGTAATAAAAAAAAAATATATACAAAATTTATATCGACAACAAAGAAATTCCTCGGAAATACGGTAGTTCATCTTGGACCTAACTCCGACAGAAGGATGACATGGAGACCCACATGTTAAAATGAAATGGATGATCTTTAGTATGAGTTGGTGCGTTGTGTAGCAATAATGTTTATCGGAAAATATGAATAAATGGAAAATAGTTCCCTAGAGTAGCCAGATTCAAATACCTAGACTTCTGAATGACCTCAATAAATGACTACAGCTAAAGCAACCTTAACTATAGCACCCTAATTATTTATCAACATAAAAAGAAAAAATGTTATGGATGGGGCTGAACAGTGCCTATAGCATCTTTACTAAAAGATGTGATAGTTGTTTGTATCTTTTGGCCAATTCTTGTTCTTTTTAATATGGCGTGTATGTTTCAAGCGATTTACTTTCCATACCATAAGTAATTTTTAGAAGTAACTGCTTTGTTGTCTATTGTTACAACAGGATATGACACTTTCCGCAGGAAACATTTATCTATATGTTCATAGATAAATTATTTTAGAAACTATTTGATTATATTTATTAAAAATTAAAATATAAATTTTACAATTACTCCGGAAAGTAGTAGTGTCGACTTGACGACATCGACCCTATCGTCGAAGATACATCGAAGTTGTAATCAACCTATCAGACAACTCGGACTAATTAGAGGAGCTTGGAAGAATGTGGGCAACCTAAACCCGACACCTGGAGCCCGGCTATTGCCGAGATCTTATCAGTTCTTGCGGCTGGTTCTCGCGAGGGGTCAGTCAGGGTCTCTAGCTTGGACCCTTTGAGGTCATTGCATTTCTGAGCGGCGCATTAATGAACAATAGTTTAGACAATTTATTAGGATCCTCAATTATAATTAGTCTCTATACTTTATATTATATATACCAACAAGCAATATAAACACTTATATTGACAACAACAAAATTCCTCAGACGGACACTGTACTTTATTTTGGACGTAACTTCAACAGAATGATGTCAAATAGCCCGCATGTTTAAAGGTAAAGGAATTCACTTAACAAACTGAAAGGAAAAATGTAATACAAAAAAAATTAGTTCGTAAAATAATTGCTAGTTTCATTATTAACTCGAAGAGAGTTAAATATAAAATTAAGTATTTAGTATTAGTTTTAAAAATAAGTATTAGTTTATAATAAGTCTTATTCATTTTATTTCGGATTAGAATAACCAACAGATGATTGGGAGAAAAAAAACAAAAGACTCATAATTGGTAATTGGTTGACTGTCGTGGATAATGAAGAGAAGAATAGTTGGGGTGCTCAGTTTTTTTGACTGAGCACCCCAACTACAAAAGCAAAAGACAGTTGAGAGAGAGATGGCGGAACCTCGCGAGTGTTGAGGCACGCTAAGGATTTGGATGTGTGAAATACTTTAGTTTTAAGGTGTACACCGGATTTTCTTTTCCTATCCATGAACATTTCCACAGCTTGAGGAGATAGACCGAAGAGACACTGACGACGCTAGTTCGAATAAGATCCCGATTTCTCAGATAACCTAATGTACCAATTGGACAGAGTTCAACCAGAGGTACATTGTAAATATGTACATATACCTTTTTTTTTTCTACCTATTTTTCCCCCAAATATTTGTAATTCGTTTGTTGTATATTCATAAGTTAATGTTTAGTTCTGTAATAATTTTATATTCTTTTTTTATAATTAAAGTTAATGGTATTTTCTTTGTTTTCTTATAAATCTAATTTCTTGTTCATAATTTTCATTTCCTTTAACAGTTATTTAAACCACTAAAAATAAACAAATTCATCGTTAGTATTAATAATAGTCATTTTAATTATATTATATTCTTCTTTTTAAAGGCTTAATGAGGAACTGTAAAACCCTATTCGAGGGATTAGGAAAACACATTATTAACCAAGTAAGAAGGTTCGATAGGTTTTGAGGTTCATTAACATATGTTTTCAGACCCATAGGTTCCGAGTTCGTAGCTCACTCTGCGTCCTAACTTTTTGTTTTAATTAAATTTTTATTTTTTTATTTTAGTGGTTTTCGCTATTTTCCAAATTCAAGAAACTAAATAGCGTGGCGCCTGTTAAATAGTTAGCGCCTGTTATTTATTAATTTTTTTTTTTGCCAATTCTACCGTCTCCACTGAGCATCCGGCAACTTTGTTGCGGAAACAATTTTTCTAAATTAAAGACCGTAACAAAACAACTCGAACTCCTTTACCCACTGTTTTCCATATCTTCAAAAATGAAACTGAGGCAGAAACTTGTTCATACGAACATGCATATACTTACTTAAGTTCGTATGGACATATTCTTGGTAGATATACGGTATCGCCAAAAAGACCCTCCTAAAAAATCTTCAAACCTATGAATGAAAATTATTAAGACTCATAAAAAAACACGTGACTAACACACATTGACCTCCGATTGCAGTTGTTCAGCATGTTAAAATGTTTATATACTTTTATTTATAATATACCTTGAAAGTTAATGAAAAGTTAATAAAATAAAAAATAAATTATTTTATATATATATATATATATATATATATATATATATATATATACATACAATCATTCATACCTATATACAATATTGAATACTGAATTTCTAAAATAATTTAAAAATTGTGATATATTTAAGTACGCGGAAGATTTTTAAGCTATTTAACCTTTTCAATATTTTCTTTGAGATATCGCCATACGCTTCGTATCCATAATCAACCACCAGTCATATTAGACACCTATATAACCTCGGCAAGATAATTTTATCACAACCGTAAGTAGAATAGGAATATACCTTACCAATTAGGAAAAAAGTGTCAACGTTGGTGGATCGATGTTCAAAATGTACACAGCTCCGAATTCGACAAAATTAATTTTGTAAGACTGAACCAAAACCATGAATAGCAATATATGACAAATAATATACACAGCAACTAAATGTAACTATAATAAACCTAAGTTAAAATAAATTAATAAATAACTTCGGTAAATGAAAAAAAAAAAACCGTCAGTTATAAATTATGTTATCGTTTTACCGTGATCTAAATTTTCATAAGTTGAGTTCTTTGTAATTTTTTCATATCCTAAGTGCCAAGCACGACCTAAAGACGCTGATGAAACCAAATAATATTATAACTGTATTATCAAATTATAAAAACTTTTTTTACGGTATAGTTCCTTTTAATCAAATTGTTAACAATCATCCAAAATTTCTTGATTGGCTACATTTTATAGTATACTACAAATGTTTTATTACGAATATTCCCGGGCAAGGGACGACGTTTTTAATCGGGAGGTCGATAAACATTGTTTATTTAATGAGGTCATGAACATCCATTTGATTTATACTTGAATCATAAGATAATTTGATTACACGATTTGAGAAAAAAAGTGGTCTACGAAAATATTGGTCCAAACCTTCACCCCATCATGTCAAAATAAAGAACTATACAGGCCAAACGGTCCAATATTTTTGTGCACCACCTTTTTTTCTACATTTTGTAGTCAAATTATCTGGCCATGAAAGTGGAAGGCAAATGGGTGTCCGTGAGTTTTAGCACCTCTTTAAATTGGAAAGTATACTGATGTACATTGAAAACGTTGCATTTCTGAGAATTTCCTTAGAGAAATAATTTGTAGGTTTTTTTTATGTAGTGTTCATATTTTAATTAAAAAAATGTCTTCCGCGGATTATTATGTTTAAGAACAATTAGAAATAAGGTTATAATATATTTTTAGTTCATTAACGTCGTTAAGTCGTGAATTACCATTAAAGATAAAAACATGACTTACAGAAAAGATGACAACTTACAGTATTTTTCTATTACCTAAATAACTTATTTAATTATTTCTTTTTAACTCACTTTGAGCGCTATGTATGCTATTCGCGGCTACAGATTTATGATTTTTTCATAGATGTTAGCAATCATTTATAGAGCATGTTGGACATCGACGTTTAAATAAACTCGATTCAATTCTCTACCTCGGAGTAACCAACAAACGCTATTTTCCAAATCGTGAATATACTTTCAGGTTCTACTATAGGTTATAATTTTTTTTTTTGTTCAGGTTGTTTTGTTCTAATAATTGCGGTGATTGAAACTATAATGCTGAGAAAAAATATTTGTATTATCAATATTTTAAAAAATCTATGATCTTTATAATAGAAAATCCAGAAAAATGGCGCAAAACCATTTCGTTTTATTACATGTTTTTTACTTTCACTAACCTATATATGAAATATATAATAAAGGAATTTTCGAATCTTAGTTTTCAATGGAAATAAACGATTTGAGGTCTCCTGAGTCCAAAGAACCAAGGCCTGCAAAATGGGCTTAACACATTTTTACAATTTTCTCGAAACGGTCGATTTTGATTAAACTCATTATATCAGAATAAAATTAAGCAGTTTTAAAGAAAATGTAGTTTTTATTCTGATTGATGTTCTCTAACAGAGCTTAAATGGCTAATTTTCAATATCATCTTCCTCTAACGTACCTTTAATTTGTTTTTATTTGAAACAATTCACCATTTCACATTAATTTCTAGTATAAAAGATAGTTAAATATACAATATTAAAGAATTTGCTAACTAACTAAAGGAGAAATAATAGATCGTAACGGAGAATAGTTGTAATTGGGAGCCAAAGGAATGCGAGCGCATCCGAGCTCGCCCGAAAGATTAGAACACGCTTTCATACGTAACATGAGCTTAATATAATACGGACTCTGACGATATTCTATAAATATACATATGCGGTTTTCATAAATGCTATTGTTGGTATTATTTAATTGTGTAGATTAAAGCGATATAAATATTAAAATTTGTATATATTAGGGTATTTATACCAATAAAAATACCCATAATGAAATATAAATAAACATAGCTTCTATATTTTTTACATTCTCTTCTCCTTTGTCTGAAAATACTTATTTCTGCTAAGAAGAGGGTAGTAAGTGAATGTTGTGTGACGTACCGCACTAGATTTTTTTTTTCAGATAGAGGCAATTGTAATTCTAATTTTTGATCCGACCTATTGAACATTGCTCTATCAGTTTTTTCCCACGACAAAGAAGCGGAACATCTGGAATCGTGAAGGATGTGTTGGAAATGATATTAACCCAACCATTTTTTGCCAAAGCTTCCTCGCCCACCAGGATACCCTCCAGCGGCCTTCCTCTTCGGACAGTAAAGACCCATCAAGATAGTCGACCCGGGCCGCGAAGGTCGTTCCAGAGCCGATGAGCCGATCCTCCAGGACTATAATTAAATCCTTCCTCACCCCGAGCCATATAATAAATGTTATTTTTTGTTTGAGGCGGGAGGGGGGCGCTAATAGTGGAGAGCGATAGCTTTCTGGAAGGGGTAATTAGGACTAAAAGCCGCTCACGTTTTACTTTTTTCAAAATAGAAGACGACCTCAACAAACTAGGTGCCGCGAGCGCACCCTAATAGCGGGTCATTAACTAATCGTTTGTGCTCTTATCAGCGACCCGTTATCAGTGCGCCCTGTCATCAGCCAGGTGTGGCGCGGTAACCTCCGCAGCTACTGAGCAAATATTGCCGGCTCCTTCGCTTCTCCTTTTTATTTGTCCGGTTATTATTTGTTGTCGGCTCCGAGGACGATAAGGATCTCTCTCCAAGCTCAACTGCTTCAGAGCAACGCCTTATATAGACGTCTTGTCCGTCAGCGGTTAATACCTTTCCAGCTCTAAGCCCGTAATTCATACTACTAATTGGTTTACTATCTCCCTGAAAGAACATTCAATCATATTTTGTCAGTCTTCCTGACTTGTCTGCGTTCCTAAAGTTAATATCATATGCCCCATGTCCTACAAAGTTGTTCCAGAGGCTGATGTAAGCCTTGTTAGAAATGACATGTCATAAAAATCATCTCAAAAATCACCCAGTAGAATCCCTTCCTTTCTCGATTCAATATTGTATTTTAGCGATGAGATCCCTGATCCACGTTCGTTTGAGCCTTATGAGCGTTTTATCGCACATATTAAAGTGTCTATATCTTGTATAGCCGAGTAAGTTTATGTAAAGCAAGTCGAAATAATTTAAAGCTAAACGCGATGAAAACAGACCATTGTTATAGGTTCCAGTTCTCTTCTTACAATTCAACTTCTCCCTTTCTTCTTTATTCATCAACAGTCATCCCATCACTTTCGGCTCCTTCGTTAAAAACCTAATATTCACTATTTACGAAAACCTCTCCTGGAAATCCCATTATTCTTTGTTCATAATTGTTGTTATAAGGGTCCTTGTCCCAGAATAAAGTTTGTTTTCTATTCTATTCTATTCTAAAGTAATGTGTGTGATGTACCGTCGATTACCGCATTAGACCTTTAAATCCCACCTATTAAATTACTTCCTGTCTATCCATTTCCAAAACAATTGAAAATAGTTCTTTTTTGTAAATATGTATATAATTTATTACTTTATTTTTAAGTAACTTTTTTTTGTTTTTAATTCATTAATGTTAAAAGTTATAAACTTATATTTTTTTTTTAAATTTCCATTTGTTTATTTTATTATTCTAATTATACAACTAGATATGTATGTGTTCTTTTTATTTATTTATTATTAGCTTATTTTATTCTTATTTATTGTATATATATTATTTATCTGTATATATTATTTTATTCATTGTACATAGAGTGTGAATGCGATCTCTGAACACTATTATAAATGTCCTTTGAGACAGATTGTAATATTTTTCAATAAAAAAAAAAAGTTATAAAACTGAGGCTCTAAATCCTACGATTTTATTATTTTATGTGTTATACTAAAGAGATTTGTTCCAGAATAAATAAAGCCTATTATTACTATTGTTATTGCCATTGGAGCTTTAGTTGTAGTTTTTTAGCTGCCCCTTATAATCCGAAGCATGGATCAAAATGGCCTGAAGTCGATAAATGAATGTATTCAATTTATGTTTTAATTTTCAAAATCCTGATAAAAATGGGTAAAATAGTTGTAGGTTTTATGTTTTTATTTTTTGTTGACATCTGGACCCCATACCATTTTCCTGTAAAATCGCACTTTTTCTGTTTGTGGAATTTGGGCATTGTCGAATTAAACAGGAGAGTCAGTTTCATGTAAGAATTTGATTATTATCATGGATTGTGGCTTGAAGTTACATGATTGAAATCTAAATTCAATAAAAAACACGTTAAAAAAAATTCATTTTCCCTTCAGATCTTATGTAAATTGCTTACACTCACAAAAACTAATACCGTAAAACATTTGCATACGGATTTTAAAGGAAAATAATGGATTTCTAGAAAAATTAGGAAGAAGATTATGAAAAATAACGTAAAATGCCTAAATGAGCAATATTCTCAATTTGAGGATTCTGCCCTCATAAAATTAGTAGCGAATAAACGAGAACAAGACCTGAGAATAGGGATAGCCCATCTTGACAAAAGTTTTATTTTTATTTTTTGTATTCATTTGACAAGCAGGAGGAGGAACACCACCATAATTTAGGTAATTTCCAGTTTTTATTTCATAATTTATTAAAATGTGCTATTTAATTGTTAAGTTTTTCAATTAATTTTTATTATTATTAGAATATTTTTTTACAAATTTTTAGATTGTTTTGTAATTCTTTTTATTGTTGTCTTTAATTTTATTATTTTATATTATTTAGCCTCATGAAGGTTTGATGAACGACCGAAACCGGTTACGCAAAAGACAAAAATTATACAGGAGGATAACGTATTTTTTATTGAATTTTGAAAGTTATCCGTTGGAATTCGTTTGAATTTCCTAAAGTTTTCATCGATAATTATATCATTCTAATACACATGTATATAATCTATTCCTGGAGGAATCGGAATCTTGAAACTTTGCTAAACGTTAAATTAATGATTACTTCTTGAGTCCAGAAACTTCAACTGATGACTTGAGCTTTCTACTGAAAAATACAAACCGGATGATCGTTTCCTATCCGACATGGAACCAATGATGTCAACCCCCAGGCCGTTGCCTCGAGGAAGAGGAAGCGGAAGGAAACACCATATTCCTGGAAGCTCGCCATAGAGGATGGTCCAATATGAAGCCTTTTCCAGGAAGGAGCGGTCATCCACTTTCCATATAATAGCATCGATAGGGGCTAATGATGGTGATGTCAGAGCTAATCGCTGCTAGCGCAGAGCGGCGTGGCATACAGACGAGCGACCACACAGGCTGCCTTAGTCAGCCGAATGCCAGGCGACTCCCGCCGTTCTGGCAGAATCCTAATAGTGTTCATTAGATATTGCCACCGGCCGAGGAGAGTGTCTCATTATCATAATATACAACTTAGCAAACGGAGGTTATTCGATTCCAAGAGTATTCTTCGATTGAAAAATTACCTTCGATATCTCATCTATTGAACTTGTCTCAAGATGTAAATATCAAGTATCAGATTTGATTTTATGCCAGAAACTGTCTGTAGTCAAATATATGTGAGAGGCATATTATCTAACGACTATTGATCATTTTTCGCTTCCTCACTACCGAAGGTAGGGAAGCATTGTGTTCGTGCGAGAGTTTAAAAAACAATTTGTGCTCAGAATCGAAAATTTCCAGTCGCATTTTACGTCTCAGACTATAGTTTGAAAACTGCGCGTTCAATTTGACCCAAACTTGTAGGAAATTTGGAGAATAGTATAGAAATTTTCTAATATGAATTTCATTGAATTCCATTTAATAATATAAATAATTGTTAACAATATGATGGCAGTGAAAAGTGAAAGGCACTGATCATATGGAGTGGAGTTAGGATATGAAAATATTTTTATGGGGTTATAAAATTTTAGATTTTATTTAAAGAGTTAATTCATACTATATTGTTTCGTCGATTCCAATCGTAATCCAATACACGTAGATTTCGTGTAATTTTCAATAAATTTAAATTAATTTTTACTCTGAGTTTGTAAAAAAGAAAAATATTATTTATGATTGTGTTTATTTCTATTGAACCAGAAAGTCGTGGTATCGAGTTTATGTGTGATTTTTAAAATAGTTTTTTATTCCAGCGCTATACGACTTTTCGTTTACATACGACTTTTCGCACTAACAGTAGCGATATTCATGTTCAGTGCGCACTTGATTTTTTTTTTAATCCCGAGTCATCAAATATGCAATCTGTATATGCGGAACTTTTTCGCATATGAAAAAAATTTTTGGATATCAAATCCGTATACGTTGAGGGATTGCTGAATTTTCGAAAAAGGCTTCTCCCAGAGATTTTATTCTCAAACGAAAAATTTTAAACCTTGTAATATAGATATTTTTTAGCCAATGCAAACGGCGAGGAAGCTATACCATCCTTCCCTGGCAGACTTTTTTTTTTTTTGTGCGAGCATTCAGACCAATTTCACCCACTATTTTCTTAGACATGTCAATTGTAGGAGCAGACTTTGGGGGATGGGTGCGAGATAGGCGATGCCTCCCCACAATCTGTATATATAACAAGATATCCTAGGATTTTTTGGACAATTCCATTTTTGTGAGAAGATTTTATTTCATTTCCTGCGGCAAATTTGAAGCATCTGATAATTGATAGTTAATCTCACAGCTTCAAACATTTAAATAAAAATAACAACATGTAATATAATTGCTATGTTAACATATTTTCAAATATAACCGCAAAAAAAAGACATCTAAACAAACATATTTATTGTTATATATTGTATTGGTCATTTTAAATAGTTCAGTTGATTATGTTAATTACTTATATTTTTTATTTTATTAATTTAAATTCATTCATTTTTATATTTTATTCACATACTTTCGTTTAACAATGCATTACAATACCTTGAACCGTTTAAATTTCATAAACTAATCATTTAATTCTGCTTTATGCTGAAAAAACTTTTGGGGGATAGTGTGTAATGGTCTAGTATCAATATTAACAAATTCTATTTAATAATTCAAATTAATGTAATAGAAATTTTAGGTCGTGAAATGTAAACGTAATGGAATGGGTAGTATATTTAAGTTTTAAAACCTAACGAATTATTGGATTTGAATTTGAATTGGAATATTCCATTCAATTCTCTGTGTTAAGGGAAAACGGGGCTAGAAGTTACAGGGGTAATTCGTGCCGAGAGAGATAGCTCCAAAACTAAAAAAAAAGATACATATAAATCTTACAGTATAATTTAATTCATATACGTCCTGTGATCCTTATAATACTAATTATAATCTTAACTATATTATATATTCCTAATTATAAATATAATCAAGGATTATAATATATAAATTATAATCTAGGGTCGGAAAACCTTCTGGATTACATGAAAGTAATAAATAATCCGTCATATCCTTTAATAAATGCCTTGAAAATGTAAAAGAATATTCATCACGTACTAAGCTACTCTTGAGTAGTGCTACATTTTTAAATATAAATCACCCTTCATTGATAAATTATCCATCATCCATGGAATGGGAGAAATTAATTGTGTTTTATCAATAATTTATTTATTGAGTATTACAACAATCTGTCACATGGACACTAGTTATAGTGGAGTTTACCAATAATAAAGTATAACTTTTGTCTTATTTTAATTGAATAAAGATTTTTTTTTTAAATCTATCGGTTAAAGCAATATGCACTAGCAACTCTGATTATTCTATTTATCTGGTTTTAAATTTTATTTTTCGTACTTATAGTATATCATGTAAGTGTATTATCTCTTCAGTGATCCTAAACTGTAATATCTAGAACGACAGAGAAAGGACTTAACACATACAAAACTTTCAATATTAGGAGTCTGTCAAGGAGGGTAAGTTTCATAAGTTTTTATTACAGAATTATACATCCTTAGCTTGGAAATTGATACTAAAAACATAATGGAACATGTCAGATACTATATTTCACACTCTCCAGTTATCGATCCTAATTGCAGCGTATTCATAAATAACTCGGCCTTATGTATATAAGACCAATCCAATTAGCCGAGATATCGTGCCCAGCGGGACTCGAACCCGAAAAGAATTATCGACAGATAGTCGTGCGCGGTGAAACGTGGCCATAACCCCAGCATCCGTACCATTACCGGATGATTCACAACCGCATCTCATTCATTAACGCTCCGGTGTAAAATATTTACCGTTCTGTTGACTTTTGAGATAGAGTGGTACCTCGAGACGTAGCTTCTCATTATCAGAGCTCAGAAATGTAATTTGTTCCCAGCATCGATTCCCTCGGACTCCATCGTAATCGGCCTCATAATGTGATAGCTATATTAATGAAAGTAACTTATATTTTACCAAACAGTTTAGATTATGGTTTATATATGTATATGTATATATATGTATATATATATATATATATATATATATATATATATATATATATATATATGTATATATATATATATATATATATATATATATATATATATATATATATATATATATATATATTTCGGGCCAATTTCGGGCAGAAAAGTGGGGAATTTAAGATTTGTGTTTTTTTAAGCGAATCACATTTTCGTTGAATAGGAAGCGATAACTAAAAAAAATATTTGATTTAATTGAATTAAAGATTGCTCCATTGTAAACTAGACAAAATTTGCTTTTAAAAAAATTAGAGTTTGTTATTGTTAAAACTATTTAAAGAGGACTTTTGATCGGCTAAACACAGCTACGTTAAGTTTAAAATTGTACTACATTTACACCACTTTTGCAAAAACTTCCTCGTTTAATAAACTTTAAGTCCATATGAATTAAACTGAAGTTTATAAGGCAAAATTTGAGATTCATGTTTTTGATATTCACCTCAGGTTGTGTAAAGAAATGATCTGATTTCCTTTCCAGTCACATTAAAGTACTTGTATTTTCAGCAAAAATGACTAAAATCAACTGCTGCAAAGGTATAATTTCTTGTTTTTCCATGATATGGGATATATTCTAATAAACAAAATTACCTAAAAATATATTTTATTTGTAAAAATAAAAAATAAAAAAATAACGATTTTACAAATATTTTTCATTTAAGAGGTTATGAAATTGTTTTTTTCTGTCAGATTTCTATCATATAAATTAATGTTTATATATCATCATCATCACAATCATGTTCCTCTTTATCGCTTATGCAGTATGAGGTATGTTTATATATCAGTGACAAAATTAATATTTTTAGCCCTAATATTTAAGTTTTCATGAAAATAATTGAAGCAATCAGTAGGTTTTCTTTATTTTAAACGTAAAATTTAAAAAGAAATATTAAGTTTGTCATTGATAAATACATATTAACTCTTATGACTAAGATCTGGGAAAAAAACACGATGTTTAAGCGTTAAATTTTAACATAACCACTTTAAGCGAAAAATATTTTTTAAAAAAGTCCCATATCATGGAAAACAAAAAACAAAGCTTAAACAGTTAATTGTTGTCATTTTTGCAGAAAAAGCGTGTATTTTGAGGTGATTGGAAGTCACATTATTTCTTTACACATCTTGAGGAGCATCTCAAAATTTGTTATCTTAAACCTCAACTTAATTAACATGAACTTAAAGCTTATTAAACGAGGAGGTATTTGTTAAAGTGAAGTAATCGTAGTACAGATTGGATTTTCACATATATCTCGAAAATGGTGAATCGCAGGGGAAATTTATCAGAACGTAAATTAAAGTTTATATAATCATATAAAACTTTTATTCTGTCCATAGAAAGAAAATTCTAAACTTTTTTTAAATTTAATTACTTATTTATTTATATATACATTACATCATGTCAAAAAAATACATTCCATGTTTGTGTTGCAGTAATCTTGTACATGACATATAGTGGTATGAATGTTGTTTAATAGATTGAAATCCATTATATACAGTAGGAAAAACCTCATAAAAAACCTATATAAGATATAAATGGAAAACTAGATAAATGAAAAACTAGACTAAACTATTTTTGAGCTACATTAAACAAAAGGGTTTAACGTATACTATTTCAATAGAAGAAATTCAAATTCATTTTTTTACTGAGGTAAAATCATGCATCGAGTCGGTAATAAAAATATAAACATTATTACATGAATGAAAATTTTAATAGCCGCATCAGCCTAACTTATTTTTTTAGAAGTCAGGTTTAAAGCTCAGAATTTTACTCATGAAATCTCTCTCGTATTGCAAAAAGGATTAATTGAAGTGTAAATGAACCGGAAAAAAATGCTAAGATCCGTTTTTGGAATGTTTGCCCTAAAACTATTTTCCTAAATACATTCGAAATTTCACAGAACAGGTTTCATCGGATTTGTTTGTGAAGAGGGAATTAGTTAATAGACAGATAAAATTACTAAATATATATAATTAACGGTTGGACTTGGGATATGCTTTGAGATCTGATAGGAGTAGCGAACCTGTATAATTAAAAAGGGTAAATTAATTACCCCTGAACTGAGGTAATATCTAGCCTTCATCTCCTCCTATCCGGCAATTTTTCCTCTCTCTTACCTGCCAATTACCCGGAGCTCTACAGGTAACTATAGGGCCTAATTGCCGACAATTACACCTGTGTCTCTATATATCGACCTGTATGAATAAACATGCCGTCAGGCTGCCGCGTTACCCCCACCAAGGGACGGCACCATCGGCAATCGAAAGCCATTGTTCTGTCTAAATCTAAATCATATAACTCCACCGCTATTCGGACACCAATATGTCTCTATTGTATCTTGGGACAATTATCGGTCCCTGCCGCCATTATATCCTGATTTATCTGATACATTATACATTAATATTACACCCACTTCAGCCCTTTATTGCCTCTCCGCCATTGTTCTCACGACTGTTTGAGATATCTATGTCTCAATCGCACCATCTTGGCTTCAAGTAATCATACCTCTATAGCATTATAAAATTTGAATTTTTTAAACAGGAGCTAACAGTTCAATTCATGTCAGCTGTATTAAGTTGTTACACAAGTTCATGTGCATAAGTAAAGCTTTAATTGATATTATCTATTTTAAAAATAATATAACACTATTCAAAGTAAAGTCCGTTGTTTTCGATCATTAATTGTATTTGATGCTGGTAATACTCCTTTGCTTTGGAAGCCAAAAACTCTTTACATCCAATTTTCATGTCCACGAAATTATAAAAGATTGACCCTTTTAAAACATAATTAATCATTCATTGATTTGGTTGGGAATTACTCTGAAAAAAACATATGATGGCACAATATTTGGGCTATACGCAGGATGAGGCAAAATTTTACTGCTTGGAGTTCTGACAATTTTTACTTGGTTAAACAAGAAGGCTGTGCAGAGTCATTGTCGTGTTGTATAATGTTTATGAGAGGATACTTGGCGCTAAAGACTGCATAAAATCTGTCTAGCTGTTTATAGTAAAGGTTGGAGCCCACTACCCGACCTTCAGGAACAAGCTCAAAATCCAAAACGCTTTATTTAATAAACGGCTGATACCATATTAGCTTTGATGAAATGCTTGAGTGATTTCTCAAAAGACTGCGCATTACAATTTTTTCGTCTCACCTTGCACGTACTCCTTTAAAATTTGTAAATGATCCCCGAGATAAATAAAAATTTTATAAAAGCGGACATAAGAGTGAGCCTTGTGGAACACCAGTCTCAAATAAAAACACGATATAGTTAGTTACCTTAAATAGTCTGTGACAACCGTAATAAGACAGGCAGGAACAGCCTCAGTTTGTAGGATTACCCATGTGCTAGTCTATATGGTCCTGTTAAAAGCATTTTTGATATCTAGATGATATAGACAGATAGACAAATTATAAATAATAATATTATCACTCTCTAATGCTCTTCATCGATAACCTCGATCACAAGCCCGATAGCCTGTAGATCTAAGATAGGTAGATGCAGGGATGTCCAGTAGTGTTGGCCAAAATCGGTCTTGATCTTGCATTTTTCAAAACCAAGACTAAGACCGCTTAAATGTTTCAAAACCAAGATTAAGGACTGGTAAAATAAATCGTTTTTTGTGAATAAAAAGTAGTCACTAATAATTGATGATTTTAGTTACTATATGTAAAAAATTGGTATAAACAAAATACTGTTTCATTTAACTCTTCCAATTTTTCATTTGGGCTTAGTTAGATTTTCTCTACTTGAAAAATTACAGTAATAAGCTAATATATAACTGCAAGGCTGTTGCGAGACTCTTGAGCAAGACCAAGATTTGTCTAGGTCTCGCATTTGGGCAACACTAGTACCCAGAAATGGGTTTCATGGCGCACATTTCGGCAGGGTTATGAATTTTTAGAATGAAAAGTTTCAAACTAAGGACAAGAGAAAAACAGAGAATATACCGCAGTAAGTCTAATTGTATATGATCTATGATCTTTTAAATTTTACTTTCTTCTGCACTGTTATTAAGAAGCGAAGAGAAATAAAAAATCTTGGAAAGGGTAGGGGAAAGGTTCTTGCGCCATCGATCTTGGGGGGATGGTCACCCCTGGGTCGACGGGTCCTCCAAATTTCCTTTACCTTTCGTTAATAGCACAGGCGGAAAGGGGATGGAGAGCTTTCGAGCTGAAGCTCGCCCCCCCTAAAAATGGTAAAATTGCGCCTTCTCTCTCCAAAATTAAATCCTGGATCAGTAAGTGGTTAGTAGTGAAAGACTCTATAAACGATGGTTTATTTAAAATTTCGTTACTGTATTTTGGTAAATTTTACAATGAAAAAAATAATACTTTAAGTATATTAAATCAATGTTTAATTTCTATAGTTTTTAAGATTTAGTACGATCCTTATTTATTCATATTTATAAATTTTTAAATTTCTCTTTGTATATAGAAAACAGAGACTGGAGTTATATAATTCAAATACACTGATGGAGTTGTGCGACTTTTATTGCCGACAGTCGATATAATAAATATCGAGTTTTTTGTTATTTTGATGATGTTATGGAATTTTCGTATAGGTAAATATAGCCGAAATTCGATAATATGTCCTTTTAAGATTTAGCTCTATTGAAATGTACTTCAAAAAGTTTTGTAATATCACAATTTTTCAGACAAGGATTTCTCTTCAAAATAGAGAGATTTTTTTT